TTGAACCCTTTGTGTCACTCTGGCAAGATGATCTGCTCCTGAATCAGCTGGGTGGGTCTTGCCTCTAGCCTCTTTGCAGGGAGTTGTGCTGAAGGGTTCCGTGCTGGGCCTGCGCTCTGGGTCTGTTCAGGATCCCGCCGCCTGGGTCCTCTCACTCACTCCCCGGGTCTGTGCTCTGGGTCTATTCAAGATCCGGAGGACCTCAGGTCGTCTCACTCACTCGCCGGGCCTGCGCTCTGGGTCTGTTCAGGATCCTGTGGCCTGGGTCATCTCACTCCCCGGGCCAGCACTCTGGGTCTATTCAGGTGATATCTTTGAACATTTTGAATTTTTCCCACAAACAATTCCCAAAGACTCCTGAATCACATGGACAGAAACAACCCCATTTCTCTGGTACCAAATTTCTGTCTTATTTTTATTCCACTTATGGGACAAAATATCTAACACTCCAAATTAAGGAAAGAAAAGTTTATTTATTTCGCAGTTGTGCAAGTTTCAGTCCAGAATTCCAAGGTAGAGTGGCATATTGCAGAGGATGACAGTTCATTGTGGCAGAAGACAGGAAAAGCAACAAGAGTAAAAGAGAGGAGCAGCAGAGAACAACTCTCTTTCCCTCTCTCTTAAAAAATTATTTATTTGATACAGGTTCTTGCTACACAGTTCTGACTCATAGTGATCCTCCTATCTCAGCATCCCCAGTACCGGGATTATAGGCGTGCACCACCATGCCCAATGTCAGTGGCTGGCATGGCATGTGGCACTGAGGATCGAACTCAGGGCCTTGTGCTTGCCAGGTGGGCCTTTAGACCGTTGAACTATTCCCCAGCCTCTTTCCCTCCCTTATATTGTATGTAAGTGACCCACCCCAGGGCAGGGGTATTGCTCACATCTATAATCCCAGCACTGGACCATGAATCAGTCAAAAAATCTAGAAACCCGCCTATGACTGCTTGAGGCTTTGGGGGGACATCGGAGACATAACTATAACAGTGCATAACCAAGGAAACAATGATAAATGTTGGAATGAAAATGTGTACTGAGAGAATTCCCAACTTTCTGATACTGTTAGCTTTCTACTCAGGTAGGTTTTGATTTAAATTAGGCAAGACTTTGTGGGCCCTTCAGATCCTATCAATACAGATGTGAGATTCTCTTCAGAGAGAGAAAGAGAGAGAGAGAGAGAGAAAGAGAGAGCTTGACTAACATGGGCAAAGCTCTGGATTCAGTCATCTGTAACACACACACACACACACACACACACACAGAGTCACAAATTATATTTCAGCTTAGATTTCAAAATTGCCCATGATTATTTTGGCAGGTTGTGTCTTGGTTTTTTTTTTTTTTTTAAGCAGTCCAGAAGCAGACAATTCTTTTTATTCAGGCTGCTTGAAGAGAGTTTTAATCATTGGGTATTTTTTTCCCTTTTCCATGGTATTTACAGTGCTGAATAATTAACTGGGACTTCAGAGAGTAAGGGATTTTTTTTAATTTTAAGACACTGTAGTCTAAGCAATCTTGTTATTCATGTGAATGAAGACCTTTTCTCTGGGCCTCTAATATTTGCCAACCCCGAGGGAAAGACAAATTGTATGAGTCAGTCCTCTGGCCCCTGCCTTTCACAGCGGGACCAATGCGTTTGCAGAACAAGGCTGAATAAACTATTGACTCTCCTTTGCCCTGCCCCCACGTCAGGGTGTGAACTGCCAGTCTGAATGTTGTCCTACTTAGAGGTTTTCCCATGATTTTCAATCTCTATTGTTTATGGCTTTTCCTCTTCTGCCCTCCTCCCTCTAGGGCTTTTAGGTTCCTGCGCATTATTTGACAGCTGATCAGGATTTCAAGCTGAAGATGCTGCTGCTGAATAGCCTGAGAGTTATTTGTGAAGTGGCTCCCTGCAAATGGCTGTGGCGAAGGGTCCCAGTTCCCAGCTCCATGCCAGTGAGACCCTGCAGTCTGTATACCTGCACATATAAAACCCGGAACCGAGTCTGTGAGTACATCCTTTTCCTGGAGAGAACGAGTCCTAGAGAGAGTGAGCCATTGTTTGTATGATAATCACATGCTTCAGGCATTTCTAGATATGGTGTCCATGGCATTCTGGTGTGAGATTAGATACCTTAAGAGCTGTGACCATAACCGTTTGCTATAGATTTATTAAAATAAATGTGGAAAGTCCTCTCTTGACAGGCTTAGCATGCTGAAGATGGCATGCAGAAACCAGACAAGAGGGGTGCCCACTTTCAAGTACCTCAGAACCTGGTATCTTTAGCATTTCTTGTTAGCAGTTGTCCTTTCACTAAGATGGGTCCACAGCCTACAAATTACTTCCATGAGTTTTAAGTTTCTGGAAATTGTTAATTTTTGGCAGGTCCGTGGCTTCATTCTCTGGAATTTTCCGCTCCGAGTCACAAATCCGAGTCAGTTCTAGGTGACGAGCTTGCAAGTGTGGAGTTATCCTGAGCACTGGGGGTGTTCAGCAGCATCCTGGCTTCCACCTAGTGAATGCCTGTGGACCCTGACACAGTTATGAGAACCAAAAAGATCTGAAGACATCACCAAACAAGCTGCCAAAAGTGCCCACTGAATTCCAGCTAGGCTTGGTGGTACACGTCTGTAATCCCAGCACTCAGGAAGCTGAGGCAGGAGGACCACTGCAAGTTGAAGGCCAGCCTGGACTATAAAGTGAGTTTAAGGCCAGCCTGAACTGCAGAGTGAGACCTTGTCTCAAAAAAGTGCCTTCTGGTTAGGAACCATTGGGATGATGATAAAGAATAATATATGCATTTGTGGAAACATGAGTTGGAATTTATGGCAAGAGGAAGAGGCTAAGTATATCATTTAGGAGATTTTTTTGTGTTTTCCCTTATTTAAAAGAAATTGAGGGCCAGCCAAATAGCTCAACAGATTAAAGCAAATGCAAGCAGGCGCAGGGGCTGGGGGTTCAATCCCTGGACCTGCTGTGTCGGCCCCGCTGCCGCCAGGACATGCTGAGACAGCGATTGAGACTGGGCGTGGTGGCACACACCTGTAATCTCAGTTCTTGGGAGGCTGTAAGCAGGTGGAACACTACCAGTCTAATCTAATAGTGAGACCCTGAACACCCTGTAGACCCTTCTCCCCCCAAAAAAGAAATTGACACAGAAGTTTCAGTTTCTGACTAATATTGATGTTTAGAGTTCTCCCTGTTTTATTTATTTTCTTTGGCCATGTGTGTATGTAATAAAAAGAATGGGGAAGGATAGGATACTTGCAAATTAGGAATGCTAATCTAATCAAATCCAAGAGTATGAAACTGCTCCAGAAATATATTGTTATTGTAAGTTTATATTCTTCCTTTCAATGTGGACTCACTAAAAATAAATGGGCTGGGACCCACAAGAAAGCTCAGCAGACTAAGCACCTGCTTAGGGCAAGCGCAGGGTCCAAGGTTTGATCCCCAGCACCACATCCTGTGCTGACCCCACCCATGGATGTGCCCCAAGCCAACCACCAAGTCTAGATGTGGTAGCTCACACCTGTAATTCTGGCGCTGGGGAGGCTGAAAGCAGGAGGATCATTAGGAGTCTGATCTGCATACTGAGACCTTGTACCGCGCACATAAAAAAAAAAAAAAAAAAAAAAACTTCTTTAAAAAAAAACAAATGCACTGGAGTCATAATAACTTTCTGGTTGCTAGGTGTGGCTTCCCGTTAGCACACCCACATCCTGCCAAGAGAGCTGTTCTGATCTCTGGCATTTTGTGGGCTCTGGCTTAAAATGGAAAAAAAATTAGTCATACTTATCTAGTTACTAAAGTATTTTTTCTAACAGAAAGTTGAAAGTTAAACATCTAAAATCCTGCATGCTTGTATTTTTAGGGCAGTTTGCACCTTTCAGTTCTGACAAAAAGCAAATAGCAGTGACTTGGGGAGGTGACAGCTTTGCTTCATTAATTTCCCCATAGTATGACACATAGCTAATTCTAAGCTGGTCAGAAGAGCATCAGAGTGAATGTGAATTTGGTTTTTGGCTTCTTACACTGTCCCCACCTATCTTCACCCAGGAAACTGTCTCTCATGATCTTTGGTGCCTCGCTGAGCACTTCCTCTCATGCTGTCCTCACTGGCTTAGAGGTAAAGACAACAGTCATTGCGGCTGGCAGCCCAGGAGCCCAAGGGAGGCCCAGGGTACATGGTGACCAAGAATGACCTGCGATTGGTGAAGGTTAGAAGAGGCAGCCTGCAGAATCCTTTGCTGGTGCCTGCCTCACAGCCAGAACTGTTGGCTACTGCTTCTCCTAAGAATCTTCACATCCTTCATCATCCTAACCGGATGTTTCTTTTGTTTGTTTATTTATTTATTTTTGTTTGGTACACAGTCTCACTATGCAGCTGGGACTCCTGGTGATCCTCCTGTTTTCACCGTCCCCAGCGCTGAGATTATAGGTGTGCGCTACCATGCCCAGCCTCGGTGGCTCAGCATTCCTAGGAGTAGGGTCAACACTGCGTGTAGTAGCGGGGACCCAACTCTAGTCCCTGCACTTGCCTAAGCAGGCGCTTAGTCTGCTGAGCTATCTCACCAGCCTTATTTTCTTTTTTTATTTTAGGAAAGTGTCTACAGGGTGTTCAGAGTCTCACTACTAAATTGGACTTGTAGTGATCCGGGGGTGGGGCCAGCACAGCAGGTCCAGGGATTGAAACCCCGGCCCCTGTGCCTGCTTGCAGGTACTTTAATCCGTTGAGCTATTTGGCCGGCCCTGTCTTTTGTTTTTAATATTGAGATGAAGTTTTACTAAGTCACCGAGTTTCCCTGCTCAGTCTTCCAGAGTCTATGATTACAGGCATGTGCTACCATACCAGGCTCAAAGTACAAGTTATGTTAAAAAGAAATGTTTTAGTTCTTTCTAAAAGAAAATCACAATCATTAGCAATCACTGGAATATTATCAAAGTGGTGCTATTTTCATTCTAGTTGCAATTCTTTATATCTCATTAATCTATGAATTAGCATTTTTAAACTTCATTTTCTATGCTGTAGGACCTCATAGCTATATTTTTTGTAGGTGACAAGTAGGCTGAGTTTCACTAGATCATCTACTAAGTGAAACTGGTTTTATTTTTATCTTGAGTAATAGGTGCCAGCTTCTGTGTTTATTTTGTTATATACAAGTCCCCAGAGTTAGGACTGTCAACTGCCAGTTAATTGAGACAGCAGCAGTCTGAGTTGGCAGAGAAAGATGACCTGTAGGGAGGAAAGATGCAAGCACAGCACACATGGCATCCACACTGCTTCCGGAATATGCATAGCTGCACACCTCCACTGGCTCCTTACATGGCTTCACCTTTCTTTTTATTTATTGTTTTATGTAGACTTTTTAAAAAATATTCAGAATGAAATATCCAAGCAGTGGCCAGTGAGATAGCTCAGAGGACTAAGCACTTGCTTAGAGAAGTGCAGGAACCTGGGTTCAACCCCAGCACCACATGCTGCGCCAGCCTCACACCCGGGCACACTTACAGGCCAGTGAGTCTGGGTGTGGTGACTCATGCCTGTAATCCCAGCCTTGGGGAAGCTAAAAATAGGAGAATCACTACTAGTCCAATCTGTGTAGTGAGACCCTATAAACTCTGTACTACTTACAGAAAGAAAGAAAGAAAGAAAGAAAGAAAGAAAGAAAGAAAGAAAGAAAGAAAGAAAACAAAGGAGAAGAAAAAATACAAGGGCTGGAGTTCAGTGCAAAAGCCTTGAGTTCAGTCCCCAGTACTACCCCCCAAAATAAATAAATAAAAATAAATACATATAACAAGATAACTTGAACTTGACTGGCACTGTCTAAAATGTAGCTACAAGCCACTTGTGGTTATTTACGTGTAAATTTAATTCATTAAAATTTTCCAGCAATATGTCCCTACTCCTTACTATATTGTGCATTTCCACCTGTGTTGTAACTGTGTTCCAGAGCTGCTCTCTTGTTTCCTAACCATCTTGACAATCACCAAACTTAAAGAGCAGTAGCACTGAAAGCCTCGCTGCGCAAGGCCTGCACAAAGAACTCTGATAGAGGCTGGGGTGCCTCAGCCTCTGTTGTCTTTCATTGACTACCCAGCGACCTTGAGAAACAATGGCCAATTAAGAGCCCCCTGGACTGTGCAGTGGCCTCAGCCTTATCTGCAGCTCCCTGGGACCGACGTACGGCCTGGACCCGACCACAGGAAAAGCGGGCTTAGTCTCCTGTGCTGATAGTGTGCCCGCGGTTAATGGATCAGCAGCAAAGGGCCTCTCGCTGTCCTGGTTCTCCAGCAAGGCAATTGGTACTTCTGAGATTTCCCTCGACACTCAGTGGGGGTGTTCCCGTGTACATTGTCACTGCACTAAGGGCGAGACCTCCCCGGAGAGTCTGTAATTATGGAAATAGCATGTCCTTTATGAAAAGGAGAAACAGTGAGGCATCCGATGATAAGCAAACTGGGGTATAAAGTAATGCTGCCTAATAAGTATGTAATGTGAGCCACAAAGGTGCTCTTTCTAATAGGTTAGAAAGGGGACAAGAAGTGAAATTAATTTTAGTAGCAATTGTATTTAATCCATTATATTTTGGGCTTATCATTTTCTTTTTTTCTTTTCTTTCTTTTTTTTTTGTGGTACTAGGGATTGAACTCATGACATTGTGCTCGACAGGCAGGAACTTATGCCCCTGAGCTATCTCCTGGCCTTTTGTTGTTTCTTGGTACCAGGAATTGAACTCAGGAACCTGCACTTGCCAAGCACACGCTGTGCCACTGAGCTGTATCCCCAGCCCCACAGGGTATTACCGTTCTCACATGTAATCCATGTAAGAATTATTCACGAGCAAGTCACTCTTTGTGCTGTGGCTTCCTAGCCTGGTGGATATTTCCCATTCCAGCATCTCTTGCTTCTCACTGACCAAGGGCAGAAGCAGGCCAAGACCAGAGCCTGGGAGGAGAGAGGAGGAAGAGCTGAGCCCCCGAGGCGGGCTGGAGTAGAAACACTT